GGCGGAGTCAAGGTGCGAACTACTAAGTAGTCCTATACTAGAACGGAACAGCTGCCCACTGCTCCCAGTTTTTTAATGTTTCTCCACCCGGTGTCAGTCCATGATGAATTCCAACCTGAAATCAATTAATAAGTTTCAACAAACCTCCAGATTGAAATATGATACGTGTAAGTGAAGTACAACAGTACTATACTGCTATAACAAAGCGCCTCTTTCAGACGAAGATGAAGCAAATATGAACTTTTCATTTCGCTCATCAGATGACTATGAATAGATAATAGGGAATTTTTGACATTCTCCAGGATTACTTTGAACTAATTTAAATCGACAGTAGATAGTAAGTATTAAGAAGTATGGGTGACAATTATCCTACATGTGGAAGATTTCGCATTACTTCATTTCACCAGTCATCGTAGAAATTGTAGTAAGAATGCACAAAATTGGGTAGGCATTTGTCAGTTTATGATACATAAGATACTTAGTATAGCTCCTACTGAACAACCAGCGGTTTTCCTAGCCAGTAAAAAGGTCTCTTTTTGTTTAGGTAGTGAACCATGGATGACCATAAAACTATAAATCACAGGTATCTGCACGAGTTGCATTATTTCAGGTATAAAATGTGAATGACTTGGTTAGGTGGAGTTTAAAATAACCAGCGAAGTTGAATGATGTAGAAATTACACGTTTTTGTTTACCTCGGTAAGTAATGCTGTCAAGAACAGAAAAGAAGAACTTTCAGTCCCATAAAATGAATTGCTTTCAATTCAGGAAATCGATGATTGTTAATGTAAGTCGTTAAAGTAACTGAGTGTTTGCTAGCTGGGATCCCAGTAATGGGGTCAGTCGCTTGTAGTAATAAAGTTATAATTTATAGTTGAGAACCTTACTGGGATTTCTACTTGACTTGGCTTTACTAAACAGCCAGTCACCTACCAAATTAATAATCCATGACACTGCTACCTTGACGTAGCGATCGAAAGCCATAACAGCTTAGCGAGATATGCTGTTTGAACGATTGTTCCTGGAGGTCCTGCCATCTAATTAAGGTATTTTTGACAGTGGCTAGATTTGATATGGCTATCATCATACTGAAAACACCTAACGATATGGTAGAGTTCAACTGGTCACGTGTACCATTGGGTGTATGAAGTGTTCTAGCATTTTTGCGTTTCTCTCAGATAACAAACATTTCAAGCTGATGCTGAACAACAGGTTAGGAAATGTCGATCCTAGAATAGCACTGTTATTCTTGTCCCACGAAAGTTCAGTTCTAATGGTTAGGGTAACTCCTTAAATATGAAATGTCACGATCAAATATAACTCTAGAAAGGCCCTGTGTGTAACTAACTTCATGCAGAGGTACTTTGGACTATGCGGTCACTCCCAGAGGTTATTAGGACCACTCATACTAGTATGGTTTACTTTTCCCAGATTTTTTCAAGGTGAAATAACCTTCTATCGTGTGGGCAGCTGAGAAACTTCAGTCATCCTACCGTCTCAGTTCCCTGTTGGTTGCCACCATCCTTGTACACAGTTGTCTTCTAGACTTAATGCACATTCCTCTGTCAGTCATTCTACGTCGTCTTCAACTTTTTCAGCCATCCAGCCTATGATAACGGTTGAAATCTACTGAATGACATCTCTAGTTTCCGCAAACTGTGCTGTAAACCATATATACCAGCTTTCAACATCCATACACCTCATTGAAATTGAACAGCTAGCTTCACTAGCTAAAAATCGGACGTCTTGGGCCATGGACGTATGCCATGTTTGTAAAATATGCATGCAGAAGACATATGTGTTTATTCACTTGGTCTCGCCTATTCAATATAGACAGTCTACAAAATTCATCTTCTGAGCATCTGTGGTCTCCCCATCTAGTTCTCGTGTTCTAGAAGATGGACGTATATGGTTAATTTCTAGGAGGTGAGCAGTCTACTTGACTAAGTCACAACATACAATGATGTACAGTGAATACCAGCAGCCTGGTTTGAATTAAAGGGTGAATGTGAAGGCACTCCTACAAATTTTGTGCACAAAGACGACTGAAAGTAGCTCAAATGTCTATTGACAACGAGTTTCCGAAAGGACCAAGAGAAGCAATGGGCAGTGAACGCTAAAAAATGTAAAACCCAGCGGTGAAAGAATGTATTGCACAGTTATTCACATTCATCAACGAAACTGAGCTGAAAAATTTGGTGTTTGGTTGAAACACAGTGAATAGAGATGGGTCTCCAACCTACTCGCAAAGGAAACTAATGGAACACTAGGAAAAACAACTGGACTGGCCTCCTGTCATCATTCAACTCCCTGCCACCTAATCTCAACCTGATTGAAGTATTAACACTGGGGTTCCAACTATCAAAGTTCAGAATTCTATCAGTGCAGCTATCTCTACACTCACACGCCAATTGTATTTAGCGAAGGTGCTTCATAATTATTGGTTAGACTGACTAAAGTGTCTACTAGTGTACCGGAAGCAGATATAACCCTTCCCTGACTAGTCTCAATCTCTGATAGGTCTAGTCTTCGAGAAAGAAAACAAATCCTCTTGTAATAACCACACACGAATAAATCTGACGAATAATGTGTATATGAATCTAGGATTTATAATCATCATTACATGTCAAAGTAAAGCTGAGAAACAGTGAACGTGAGAGAATCAAGCAGATTACAGACCTTCTCATGAATTATTAACAAGATCGTTATTCTTTCCTAGGTCTTGTAACATATACACACCTACCAATTCTCAAAATAAGTTCTATTCGCTGACCTAAATGTGGCATTCGTTTTGGCGAACTGAGAAATCTTACAGTTGTCCTGCAATGAAATGGAAGTCAGAAAGCACATAACACTGATCACAGCTTTGTGCATAGATGTCTGTAGGTGAAGAGGCATCAGGAAAGTATCCAACTTTTAGTGGTGTCTACATGAACCTCCATTTAATTCAGCTTTACCACAAACTTGCTAATGGAGTCAATTTTACCCACTCAACTTGAAGGGATTTAGTCTAGTACCAGAGTATGGGGATGACATAGTCCCGTAAACAAATCTCATGTGTAAGAAAACCAACTGGTGAGCATTGCAGCAGGTAGCGTTAAAGTCTTGGGTAGATGAGGTTAGTAATTTGATGATATCGTGGGCATTCATCATATCAGATGTCTGAATCATGTGCTACGCATGTTTAGTCATTGTTTAGACAGAAGCGCGATGCCAGATAAAAGAGGATTAATTAGAAAAAGGTTAAGAGCGGTTAGATTAAAACTTGAAAGTCCATGAAGTCATTGACTTGATCTTAGTAGTATATGGAGATGTAGGCTTGCGGCTCGGGGTACATGAGATAGTTGAAACCGATAGCTGGAGACTCAGCTTAGTATGGGTGAGACGTGATCATGGTCACACAGACACATTCACGTCTCATCTTCCTGACCTTATTACTACATTACGTTGTTTCCTTATCATTTTTCCACTAAATATAACCTTTGGTCACACTGATTTGCTCTTCTTTTTTGCCTTTTACCTTGATTTGCTGATGCAACCCTTATGCAGTAATTCCAGGTCCCATGTTGATGGTGACTGACCGACTGAGTTTCATACGTCCTGCTTACTGACTGTAAGACATAACGGTAGGAGGTGACCAACTAGAAAAGATTACAAGTATCTGGCTGTAGATATCTCTGCAGTATCAATAACGCATAAATTGACCATAAAGAAAGTAATGTACAAGTTTAAGACGTAAGTTGGTAAGACTGTGGACTAAAAATCCAGTTCCTAAGCTGCTTCATTTCGAACCAGAAATCTGCTACCTCAAACAGCAATGCCGGTTGGAACAAGTTTTTGCTGAAAGAGAATTCAGCATAACTACACCAAGTTATGATATCAACTCAAAAGGTCATTGGCTGATAATCTGAACTATGTAAAGAAATATACGCCACTTGATTAGCCTTGGCGATTTTATAATTTCACGGTTAGAGATCTTATTACATTATTTTTCCATTGTTTGCTTCTGATTAGCTCATACCATGTTTGCTTGTTTTAATTTTTCCACTTTTATTAACTTTTTGCATTTGTGCTGTTGTGAAGCGTAGTTACTTGATCCACTTCATGCTATTTTCGATGTTGTCGGGTTACTTTTTATAGCCTAAGCAAAAGTCACTTTTTGTAAATATAAATTTGGTTAGCATCAGATAACACTGATTTTTGTCCACTTCTTCATCTCATAACTTATACTTCTGCCAAGCCTTATAACAGTATTCAACTATCGTACCTCAAAGGTATCAAGAGTGCCCGGTTAGCATATTAAGCTTGGAGAGAATATGTTCCTTTAAGTGGATAATGTTTTCAGTCTCAGTCCACCAACCATTCAGAGCTATTCAATCTCCCGTAATTATTTTGTTACTATTAGATATCATTTGAACTTTTCTTCCGCCCTTCACAATTCGCCAAGAATTAATTTGCCCTAAGATAATTTTGTAGATGACCTATACCAACTTGAGGAACCATCAAAACTCTCTTTTTATTGCATAGTTGTTTCAGCCAGCCTAAACTCTTATCAACAACCCACACTGATGATCAGCCTAACGAATTTACACTTCAGTCCATTCATCATGGGCTTCAGACCACTCGGCATAAATATGTTGATCAAATTGTTCAACCTCACTGATAAGGTGATCAGAAATCAAGGTGATATGCGAACAAATTAACTGGGTAACTGAGAGCCTTCAGATAATTTTAGTCCATTGATATGAAAAATAACTTCCAATCATCCACAACCTGAGTAAACCATTTTGTGTATGATTATACTTTTTCCTTCATAATAACGAAATACACTTTAAGCCAAGGATAATAATGATGCTTCATGGGTTTTAAGCGTGAAATAATCATCTATTTTAATTCAGTGATTCATGATTGCTAATTTTTTGTAGGTTTTGTGCAGTCAACGGAAATTTGTACGCAGCTTAAAGTGTATTGTTTTACTTATTACCTTCAGGTCATTGTGAATGAAAATAAATATTTCTTTTTCGATTCCATTTTATATACATTTAAAACAGATTTGTGATATTCAGGTGTCAATAGATTCTTCATCTGATGAAAAAGAAGCAGGTAAAACTTTGCTTGTGAAATCCCAAATCCTAAACAAAATGAAAGAAAGAAACACTGATCTAGATAGGATATCAGGCAAGGAATTTTTGAGTGGTCAAGCAAAGCGTTATCCTAATACTAGTGAAGATTTATGTCAACAAAGCAAACGAATTGCGTTTAATAGTTATTATGAGAAGATATTGAGTAAACAGTGTTTAAGTTTACCCTCATATTCTACAGAATTGAATCTTGAAGATGATGAAGAAATCACTTTGTTAAAAGAGAAATTAGCAACTGTTGAAGAAAATCATTTACAAATTGAACTTGAGACAGCAGTCAAAAAGAAACCGGAGATTAGTAAGCAAAGACATACAAAACACTCTAAAAGTGCTAGAAGGAGGCATAAACCTCCTCATCTCAGTCAAAATCTCTCCTTAGTGAAAACTGAAGAAACTATTAAATTATCCAGTCCAATAGTAGATAATGATATGAATATTCTACCTAGTCAAAGACCGGACGGTTTTTTTTCAAAAACTGTTCTAAATGAGAGTGGACGTTCAAAATATGGTTGGGCACCTAATTCTTCACTTCTCGGCAAATACTGTCCTAAATTAAACCAATCAAAGGTAGATGACGAAAATAATACAGCTGAAATTAACTGGGCAAAAATTGAAGAACGACTAGCCAATTCAGGTATCATTACCAACATGGAAAGAACACATTAGAAGACCAGTCACTATCAGAGACTAGTACAGTTTGGATAATGGAATCAGATAAAGAATTAACTATGACTAGTAAAGAAATGAGTGAAGCTGAAGTTATGGATAAGAATATGGAGGAAAAGTTGTTTCTCAGTAGATTTTTGGATTCAAGTAAATCAAAGGACCAATCCGTCAGTTTATCAGATTTACAAAATGAGATAGATACTGAACTTAAAGAAACGCAAGCATCTACAGCCGAAAAGATAATACCACCTTCAGAGAAATGGAAAGTATTGACCAAGAACGATCTTAAAAAAGCAGAACAATCTAGACTGGAAGAAAAGGATCTGTTGTCAGAGTTAATTGACAGACCACCACCTCGTCGTCCACAGTATGAACGAGAAAATACCATTTTTTTGACCGAATTCAGAAATACGCTTTCTCCAGATACATTATCAGTTTTTATATTGCCTGAGTTTTTGCAAAATTTCAAAAATTCCAGATGGTTTTCTGCCTTAGGATTGGTTAGTGAACAAGAACCTGAAGGATGGATGGAATTCAATGCCAGCTCAAACCCTACTTATTTTATTCACTGGATGCTTTGGACAAACATTATGCCAAAAATATGTTCACAAGCAAGTCCACCATGTTTAAGAGATGAAGATTTGTATCTTTGCCAAACTGTTTCAGAATTATGCTCTGATATCGCAGAACTACATGCAGATTTTCAGTTATCTGAAGAATGTACATATAGACTTCATATATGTTTAATTGAATGCATTAAAAATGAACTGGGAAAGAATGAAGAATTTAAAGCATGGAAAATGCTGGAATCAGTCAGTAAGCTGTTGGTTACACTGGGTTTTCATGACATCGATACAGTAGCCATCTTATTATTGCTATACGCGAAAGTACTCCTTACCAGTGAATCAGATGATGTTCAACATCCCTGTGAAATCAAGGATACTAACTCGATACAATATGTTCATAAGTCACTCCATTCAATGGGATTTAGAAATAAATACCACAATTACCTTGAAGAGGAATTGATTCAACTAAAAAACATAGGTATACCTACAAAAGTTGCTGCATCGAAACGGATTTTCCACATACGTGATTGTATTCACTTAGTGAAGAATATTGAGACATACGGCTATTGGATCAATTCCTACAAAGTAATATTTGTTTGGCTCGAAAGTTGGCTGGAACCAGAAGATGACAAATTGCTAAAGGTTGGTTGAAATTTCAGTATGCTTCACTTTATCGTCAGATTGTGATAAAAAAAAACCAAAGTTTCATCATATAAGGTGTATTCTTACTTGTGTGATCCCGGCATAGTATATTAGAACAAATAGCGAAATAAACATATATTCTGTATTATTCCTGAACGTTTCGATCTTGCTAGGAAGATTCTTTTCAAGAGCATGAATCTGACATTAAGTTTTTAGATTAATATCCAAGTTTTGGTACAGAAGGTGGTGACCTTTACGATCACCTAATTACATCGTGATATGGAGCAAAGATGAATGTAATATAGTTGAGTGAATGAGCAATTCGATCAGCGAGCCTTTTTTCACTTGTTCGAGCAAGGTGGAACAAAAATAGGGTGGGGAAATTTAGTTCATCTTTGCAAAGTACAATGGAGTTATGAGTCATCAAGGGTGAGAAAGAATAAATTACTAGTTTTTCATGACTTACAAATCATGTATAAGTCGAAGAAATTAGGTGGCAAATGTACTGGAACTTGTGTCCATCAGATCTAATTTATCCGAAAAATTTTGCTGTGCACAACGAAAATTTCTAGAAAGCTACAGAAAACACGTTTACGCAAAATACGTGAAATGGTTATGCAAACATTTAGATATCAATGAAACAACTTCTGCTGGCTGGTATGATTTGGATCTAAGCATAGAGTATCAGACTCAGTTAAGTTCAATTGGAAACTTCTACGCACTAGAAACACCATATACTGTTGTCTTTGCGAACTGTCTACTAGCTTATTCGTATTGTGCCTATAATAAAAACCTAGTCACTATGAAAAGCTCGAAATGGAGAATAAATAATTATCATTTCAAAAGATGACTTGTACTATTCAGTTACCTAGTAGAAGTCAACTTGTGAAAATCAAATGGTTATAAAAACGTGGTTGTTTAATCCTGATACTATGTTGACTATCTGAGAAAGCCGTGGTTTGGCAGATTAATATTGAAACTGGGTAATGGTTGAAGGTGAAATGGAAATTTAGGCCGCGATGGGATTCGAACCAGCAACCACCGGGTCTCCTACCCAGTGTTCTACCAACAGAACCACCAGGTCCGACTGCTGACCAGATTTTTATTTCACTTTAATCACCAAGGGTTTTGCTCGATTACATTCGATCATCATCCAGTACCACTACTAATCTGCCAGACAACGGCTATCTAAAATAGCCAAAATGATGATCAATATGATGCTCTCTCTTTCTAATCCAGTTACATTTGGATTGGGATGAGAAGTCCTGATTAAGCAGCCAGTGTGAGTACGATCAGGCGGTAGTAACGCGTCAAGAATTCACATGGTAGTCGGGCAAACCCTTGTTGGTTGAAGTGAAATAAAAATCTAGTCAGTAGCTGAGTTGGTAGAGCACTGGGTCGGGAAACCAGATGGTTTATGGTTCGAATCACTCTGCGGCCCAAATTGTCATTTCACTTCAATCATCAGTCGGTATTAATCCTGATATGTTGGGTTTTAAATGCAAGCCACCTTAAATGTTCAACATTAGTTTCTTATGAATTTGGCAACAGAATGTTTCAAAGGAGGGTGCATTTTGGTGACATTCACCTAGTCTCACGAAAGTAAGGATTACAGTCATCTTCTGTGTATTCTTGATTGCATTTAAGTGACCGACAAGGTGATTTTAAGCATGAATAGTTAAAAAAGGTTAGGAAACTCACACTGGATCTATTATGCGGAATGAAGCCATTTCTAAGTTTAAATGGTTTAGTCTAATACCTCAAATTAACAATCTGAACAGAATGTAAGGTACTGGTGAGGTTCATAAACTAGCTTTTCCTATTAATCCTGAAGTAAACTTCAAAATCACTCCCAATTCATAAATTGTCTAAGTATTTAGTGACGAAACTAGGGCCGGTTAAAAATCTTCCCAAATCTAGACTGAATTACTCTCATTAATTTAAACAAAATGAGATGATTTCAGGTTAAGCGATGAAAAATGGTTTGCTTTGACATAACTAGTCTGTACACTAATTTACCAATTAATGTGGGTCTAGTAACAGTTCGGAATGAGCTCAACTCTGACCAAGAACGCACACTCAGAAAGAAGTTACGAATTAAAGAAATCATACTTAGAGTACGATTATGTCTGACTTCTACAGTTTTCGAGTTTCAAGAAAAAATACTCAGACAAACAAAAGGAATTTCTATGGGATCACCAATATCCCAAGTAGTGACAAGCATATTGATGCACAGTTGGGAACTAACGGCTCGTGCTTCCATAGTATGGTGGAAATACGTAGATGGCACATTTACAGTGTTGAAGCGAGAATATATTGATACATTGGTGACATACACAAATTCAGATGTAGATGCGATCCAGCTTATTTATGAATTAGAAAAATGATTAAGGAGAACTAGTGTTGTACTGCAGAATAAAATGTAGACAAGCTGGGTGTTTAAATTCTGTTTACAAAAGGATACATATTCAAATCGATATTTAGACTCCACGTATTCTTATCCTGTTTCAGATGAAATAGGTTTGATGAAATGCTAAAATAATAGAGCGAAAAGTCTAGGCTATGGAACACAAAATGTAGGTTAGGGTTTGAGGAATATAAAAGAAGCCTTACTACTTAACTGTCCTCGCAAAATTTCTGCCAAAATCTTGTCAATATCTTCATGCTGACAATGACCCTATCAATAAACCAATTAGAAACGCAAAAAAAACAGGGAAATCAAGTTTACTTCAGTAGAAAGACCAATCGAAATACTTATGGAGACAACGAAAACAGTTTAAAAGAAACAGTTAATTGCCGTCATGCTTATCATGACAGGTTACTAGATTACTTGTGTAGAAAATCTCATGGCTGACTTCTTTCAAAAGTTTGCGCTGGTGTTGTTTAAAATGACAGTGAAAGCTGCACGACTAAAACATCCAACTCAGAGTACACAGCACCACCAAAAATCTTGACAGATGTTAGTTAGATGGAGGCGATCAATAGGAAACCCTGGACCTAGGTTTTATGCTTGTTCTCACTTGTCAAGCAGGCACATCTACAACCTTGATATAACTTAGATTCGAACTCGCGTCACCCAGTGGTGCAGTTAGTGACGTTACTACTGAGCTTTTCGAGCCGTGATTGGATATACTTCAAAGTAATCGGTAGGATTCGACCAACATTCAGGAAATTGATTTCCCTCCAGTGACATAGTCGATCGTGACCCGAATAGCATAGCGGCCACGTCGCTAACTGCAACGCTAGGTGGTGGGCGTTACAATCTCGGAGGGGATATCAGTTCCCTTGAGATTGCAGATGTACCTTCTGACCAGTCCCAACAAGAGCAAAACTTAGGTCCAATGTTTCTTGATGATCACCTTCATCCAACTACAAATCTCTTTATCACTACTTTATACAGATAATCTGTTGTACATAGTTATTTACCGACAAACCATATATGTACCTAACTGTTAGCTGTATAACAATCCAAATTTACTCTAAAGTAGTTATATAATACTACCTAAAGTCGATCATAATAACACAAATACATGTTAAATCTTTAGGATCTTCATTTTCATTCCTCTAATAGTACTATCCGACTGCTTTCTGACGTTATTACCCTTCTGGTGATTATTTCTTCTGTGTTGTCATGATATAAGGTAATGTTATGACATATCTCACTTGTTTTGATGATGTTTTTATCCCTTGTATTTGAAGTCTCTAAGATCCCTTGAAAAACTAGTTGTCTGCGATAAACAATTTATTTCTTGTACCTCCCTCATATTATCTGTACTTCTTTAGTGTTAACAGTGCTAATTCATTTCTTAAGTCTTCAATAACCAATACCACTATTCATTAAGAACTTTTAGTTTTTGAAACTTTCACTTCATCCACCACATATCTGTCAGCACGTTGACAGTAGTATCTGAGCTTTTAGCTAGCTGACTTAGTAGGATTTACTACTCTATGTTCAGCTAAATAATTGTGCTATGATAATTCGTTTCTATTGCGAAGATGGTGGCATCTAACTAGTTGACAAAATAAAAAATAAGCGAGAAGAGTAAGTAGTGCTATTTCCTGAAATGGAACGAAAATCAGACTGTGGTGTAGATACTAATACCCACATAGAATTTACATATTCTAATAGATACATTGACTGGGCTATTCAACTACATGGCATCGTACAAAATTTTAATTAAATGTTTAAGTTGTCCAAGTAGCCATTCAAAAATCTAAATAAGGATGTGAAACAGAAAAAAAATATTGCCCATTAATAAATATTCCCTGGGATTTACCAACAATTTCATAGGAATTTGTTAGAAAACCAGTATTGTGAGTAATAAGTGAAAGAAAATCTAAGTCATCCACTATGCTACTAGATAAGTTCACATTTAAAACCGACAAATTTACTGAGAAACCTACTTTATTAGTTTAAAGCTTTATCAGGCCAAACAGAAAATCTATTTACTCTATCAAATAATTTCAGTGAACATGATTACACCTATATGGATCGTAGTGACTGATCAAAGTCAGTCATTTTTTGCTTAGAAAATAGAAAATTGGCTAGACTTAAAACGATAAACCTCATCAGGATAAGTAATCTAATCTAGGAAAGCTTAGTTGTTGTGATGTATATGCTGATGCGGAATCATTCCATGGGGTCAGGGGAAAAAACAGACTCCTTTTTTCATTCAGTCAACACCAATGGGTGTAATCGAAATGATTCTATATGTTTTCAATATTATAAAGCCCCATTATTACTGAAAGTCAAAGAATGAGAAGCCCTTAAGGTGGAGAGAATACTTTGGCCTGGCAATGGGTAGTTAATTATTTCTGAAAAGGTATTCAGTGAAGTCTGGTATCACTATGTTCTTTATGGAATAAGAAACCCAACATTATACTCTACATCATAGCCTTAGATCTACACTTATCTCAACGCGCACTATACTTTTACTGATCGTTAGTAGGTTTTTTCTCACGGTACAACTTCATGCCGAGTTATTCAAAGTGAATGAATCCATACAAAAAGCATGAACCAAAAACCAAACACCTGATGAATTTGTTATAGACATCTTAATATGTGTTCACTTACACTTTTCATAACAGAAACTTACTAAGGGTATTTATTGAGTTTTGGCTCATTGGTTTGAGAAGTTGACCTATAACTAGTGTGTTAGGGGTTCGGGCACCACTCCGCGTACCGAGGTTTGGGCAGCCAGGTAGTATCACTAACCGTCATATAACAGGTGTACCTCATGGCCTACTGCACGAATGTGCACAAGGTTAATGAGCAGATTCGATTCGATTCAACTAAAAGCAACAGTCACATTTAGAACCATTAGGAGAGACTCATATCTGTATGCACATTATTTTTACTAGTTCCTTCACTTTCAGTGGTTTTGTAAATGAGATATAAGGACAAACAGATAAATCGAATCACAGGCGGAAGTAAATTACTTCAAGTTGTCACACTTTACAATAGCCGACAAAGAGAAAATGGACAGTAAAAGAACAATAATTAAGAAGAATATAGGATTTAGAAGAAGAGAAATCTAATGAATGAAGGCTAGTAAAAATATTTAGAATATCGATGGTGACGGAATGAATATTTTTTTCAGCACTCAACCATATCACAAGAGTCTTTAACCAGTGATACCTAACATCTAGAGAATCACAGCAAGGCAGTTGTAACTGATTGGTCTAGACATCCGGGTCATGGTTCTAAATCGACTCCACTTATAAGAACTTAAGGAGTTAAGTAGTATTGGTAGACCTCAAACAACAGATGTGTGTATGCGCAGGATTTTACGTCTAGGCTGTATGCCGAGCTATACCATTATGTAAGATGCTAAATTAGTTTCTTTTGTTGAAATATGCATTTTCCAGGATTTCACAGGAGGAAAAAAACTTTTAAGCTACAAATATACTGGAGTTATTTTCTGCTTTTCAAATGTTCCATTTAAGTACGTTATGAATTATTTTTCAGGATAAATCTTCCGGAAATATAAGGCAAACAAAAGGTATACTTCTTTCAACAATAAAGAATAAATCAATGAAAAAAGAAGTTAAATGGGTTCAAAAGGATGATGACAATCATGTACTATCTGTCTTGAAGGACGGTATAAAGGCTTTGAATACATTTATTGACTGGTGTCATGAACAACGATTATCTGAATTACGTGAACAGGCCAAAGGTGAAGCGATACAAAGTGCTACATTAAAACAAAAGACCAATGATATTAAAAAGCAAGAAATCCAAGTAGTTCATGATAGTAAAAATTGTCAAAAGCATAAAATGGTTATGCTTTTGCCACCTTTAAATGAATCAGATAGGTGTATTGTACGCTTAGGTGAATCGTATGTAACTGAAAGACGTAAATATCGTGTAAGTTATTGCTTATTTCTTTTCGGCAATCGCAATTAATTAATACAATGTGCACACACTAAACGTTTACACTGGTTAAGTATGAGGTAATATTTAATGTATTACTGCTAACCCGGGTGTCGTTTACTTCTTTTCACAACATCTATGTTCGACTAAATCGTACGCTTTTTTACAGTTCATTTAAGGCTCTTAGTTCATTTTAGTTAAAGCCTACCTACATAGACATTAATGAAATTTGGTTTGTGAATGCACAGTTACTTTTTAATCAGTTGATCTCACATCATTTATTAAGCTTATTCAATATGAAAGCTGTAGGACCAGAAAATTTCGGAGTCAAACAATTAAAAATGTGAATATGCGCATTATATATATGCACAGATACTTATTTCTCACTCAAACCAGTCAATGGTATATATATATACAAGATTTTATTTTTAGTAATATAATCGATTCCACTTCTTCTACGCATATATGATCAACAAAACATCATAATGATGAAATGCTTCAGACCATATTTCGTATTAGTAGGAATGGTAAAGAGTGTCTTTTAAACTCATACACTACTTAACAAAGTATACAAATAATCAACTCATCAATCTTAATGTAGCATATGACTCTGTTGATTGAAAAGTTTCTTAGTATTGCCTTTCTCTGGGGCAGTAATCGATGTTGTATCTTTGTGTTTTCTACTAACTATAACCAACTTAGTTACGTTGGAATTCATGAGCGAAGTAAAATCTAAAAAATGGTAGAGAATACTTTTAGCCTAATAAGTGAATGGTCAATCTGAATAAAGTAAACTCCATCAAGTAAATTTATACTATACAAATCTGTTTATTTTGTTTCAAATATATTTTTGAAAGTCAAAAGATAGTTGTAGATTCATGTATATACTTCAGCCCTAAAAGGAATCATTTATGACCTGAACACTACATCGACAGAGTTTTTCATATAGCACTAAGTGATGTGACTTCGAATCTGAGTACAAAAATAAGTTTTTTTCAAAAATAAAAACACATATTGATAATAAGTGTCAACAAGTAGGAAACCTAGGTTCAGAGATTCCAGCCGACTAGCTTTTAACACATACTGAGTTTTCTACATGCAAACTAATGTTGTAAAAGTGATCTATATCCGTTTGTTGCAATAATAAATAACTTAAAAAATTGAACACTTTAACCTCATTCACCTGTGTAACTCCATCGAACTCAATGGGTTATTTATCAGCAAAATGCTTCAAATTCGTCTTACACCTAGTGATGAAACAGTAACTTACTGATAAAGTGATATATTTTCTTTTGATCAACACTGTAGAGATAACTGACTGCTAAAGTTGGACATCATAAGAATGAAGCACATTACTAGTTGTCTGACTTTCAAATACACTGCTAATGTATACCAGAAAGTTTTGTGTTTTTCATGACGTTTGGTGAAACATGAGATAAATAAATCAATTAAAGACGTGATTACATTGCATCAGCTGAAATGGTAGTATGTATCACACATATTCATTCACTTCCTATCAAGAAGTAAAAACCTGACTGGAATTCAAGTAGATATACAAATGTTGAAGTGTTCAAATAATAGTATGATAGCATTCCATGAAATAGGCAATTGATAACTTGTAGAGTGTGATTATCTATAAGCTTTCTAACAGCAGTCCCCTTATATAGGAGTAAAACTTGATCACTGTGGTCGATTGTAATTCCATTTTGGTCTGTTTATTAGAAATATCACACAGTGAAACAATATCATTTACTGGATAATGCATGCGATGACACAATCACACAGTAGGGTGGGATAGGGCGACAGTGTTGAAAACTTAGTTAGGTGGAGGGAGAGATTGATAACCGAATCTTTGTTTATCGAATCAACACCAAACACATGTAGTCGAAATGATTCTGTACCTATCCCAGATATATCGAAGATTCTACTACCTTTGCCATGACAGAGAAGGAGAGAAAATTAGGAATATTTAAAGTCTGTCTCAAAGTTGCGGAATCACCTAATATGAATATGGACAATAAACTGTATCCGAAACGTTATCCAGTAAATGCTACTGTTTCACTGTGTGATATTTCTAATAAACAGACTAAAATGGAATGGCAGTCCCCTGAGTATGAAGAATCTTTGGTGATATGACACGAAATTGACCCCGATATACAGTAAGTCTCGATTAAATTACTATTTTATGTTTCTTCGCCCATCACCTGGTATGTCTTACATGTTCATAGTTTTGCTTGCATTGCATGTTTAACTTTGACCAGCCATTGTGTGACTAATTCAGAAAAACAAAGGTTTCATCTCTTTAAACACCAAAGAAATTTCGATAATGTGTACTCATTCAGAAATACTATGTTTAATTCAAGCATGAATTTTATCCTTGATTTTTGTGTATAGAGAATGAATAATATTCTTCAGCCATGGATGAATATCACAGAACAAAGTCGATATGGAGATGATATGATGACAAGTCAGAGTCTACGTGATCCAACTCAACCTTCATACGCACAACCATGGAAATCATATAAAAATGCGTTAACGGCCATTTTCCACCGAAAATACATATAAAACCAACAGAATGCAATATACTACCGTTTGATAAACATCAGTCTCTCAAAGAAAAATTCAAACAAAAACTAGCAGAAATCGAAACCCTCGAAGTGAACTTAGCCAAAATGAAAAAACTTAAGTAGTCTAAAGAAACGTGTACCTTATCTAATCAATGGTATGGATAGTAAGGATTTGCTAAATTACCGGAGATTTTTATCTTCATTAATTCACGATGAGGAGAAAGAGCTGAGTTCAGTAGTCCAGTGGTTTGTGCCAATATTTTCGCGTATATTACCACTACCTCTAAAACAATGCAGTCTTCCTCCTATTCATTTACAGAATTTGCACTTGAAACCGCCAGAGAATAAGAGAGAGTGTGTGCTATCTTATGAAGAGGGGAAAGAAGAATATCAGGTATTCGACACGAATTCAGTTTACTTATCAGATGATTTATCGACTGGACTTATTTCAACAACATCACAAAAAGGATTATGATGACAGTAGTTTCTATATTCTGGTAAACCTTATAAATTTCATAAGATATCACCGATATAACCGTTTTTTGTACCCTTTTTTATAAACTAGATATTAATAAACCAGTGCACTTAATATCGTGTCCGTCTTCAGACCAATTCGGGAACTGCTTTATCAAGCACTACGGGGAAGTGAGTGTTACCAAAATGATTTCTCTCAAAACAGTGGAAATCAGGGGTTACACGTTATGCGACGTAATTTGATACTAACACCTGGCGAAAAACAATACACACTTCGCACATATCACAAACTAATAATAATGTTGAGAAAGATAATTAAAACAGAAGTGAAAAAAAGAGACAGACTACTCGACTTACATGTGTATGATGGCTTTGGAACACAGGCGTACTTACCGGCGTACGATACTAAGTATATTACTTGACCGGAAAGTCGCATTCGACCCTGCCAACCGAGAGGTGTTGAAGCGGTTTCTAACAGTGAACGGAGTGCCAAGAAAGCACGTGACGCTAATCAAAGCTTTCTACTAGAGCTCCTGCAGCTGTGTAAGCGTTCATGGAGATTTGTCATGCGAAGCAGCGACAACCAGTGATAATCACTAGGATGCCCAATTTCACCATTCCTGTTTAAAAATGTTATCAATGTGCTATTGAGTATCTTGAACTTCTCATGAACTGACTTACTCCCATGATCGTGGCCGGTTGAATTGCAGGATGCCAACGATGCTGTCCTATTAGGCGAAGACGCCAACAAAATGAGGGTCCCATGGACGCCAGAGCAGAGAATTGAGCATGTATGCCATGCGTTTTGTACCTGTCGAATGTAAGATGATGCTTCAGAACTGGTCTGCACTGACTCCTCGTTTAAAGATACTGAATAAAGTGCTAACATGCATTAACCACTTCCTTTACTTGTTGTGTCTTTTCAAACTGCCAGGTTGCTGACGAATACAGATACAAAACGTGCGTTTACCATCTGTCGATTTATGTCATTTGCGGTGCCGGAGAGATGCCTAGCAACCTTTAAAAAGATCAGTATACTTCCCAGCAGTCTAACCTGGACAATATACACAGGAAGAAACGAAAGAGAATTTACAAAAAGCAGAAGTAGGCGGTTCAGATTTGTTGTTCGAGAATAAAAGGCTATACTAATCCTCTTTCGGTAGATTTCTATGCATGCTCAGTCCTCTTTTGAATGAGTCAGTTGGTGATATGGACACCACCTATTCTGGGAGTCGGTTCCAGGAGTTGATTACTCAGCACGAAAATCAGTAGTCTACGGAGACGACGTTCATGCTCTGCTTCCGCATTCGTTTTCTATGTCATCTGAGGTGCTCCAACCTAGTGGGAAGTAAAAGAGTAGACAAACCAAGTTCACAGCCACCTTTTAAAACCCTGTATAACATGATTTGACTTCCTCTCTACCCGCAATAGGATAAGGAGTAGAGGTTCAGCTCCTTATGTCAATCTTCGTAAGTTAGGCCAGCCATCACAGGGACTATACAGGTGTCCGCCTGCTAAACTCTTTCCAGAAGGTCTGATCTACCTTTCAGACAAGGATTTCCTGCCTATGTACAGTTTTCTGGTTTAGACCTAACTAAGGATATGCATAATGTGGTGAACATATCACAAACTTACTTTTTTAACGTTCTGCCTAGTGTCCGAAGTGTCCTAAAACTCTGAGCTTCAACTGATCGATAGTGCAACATGGTTTTCAAATCATAACTTACTGTGACTCCTAGGTCATTGTAGGTCAGTATTGAGAGTAGAGGAATCCCACCAATATCAGAGGTGTTGCCATCTGTGTGCTTCTTGTGTATGCTCACACATTTACCTGCGTTGATAGGCATCAGCCATTTCTCTAACTAGGTAAAAAAAAAAGCTGTTTATGTTTGTCTGTAGTGCACGCATATCTTCATCATCCCTGGCTTCTCATCAAATTTTTACATCATCAGCGTAGAGAACCACAGCGGATTTTGTGATATTCGGCAACTCATTTATGTATAGGAGAAATAGAAGGGGACTCAGAACTCCACTGTTTACCGACCTCCAACAAGGAAGTTGAGAATTGAGCCTTACTCTTTGTCTCCTATCAACGAGGAATTTTGTAATCCTTGCAAGATTACCAGTGATTCCGAAACTTTCCAGTTTCTTAAGCAACCTGGAATGAGGTACCTTGTCGAATGCCTTTCTAAAGTCTATGAAAATAACATCTATAGATATCCTATCTTTTTTAGACTTAACCCAACTTTCGTCAAGCAACAGAAACTTCTGCGAAAGCCATGCTGCGAACAAAACAACATAGTGTTGGTTTCAGTCTGAGTGAACTGTAATGGCTTCCGTGATTACTGTTTGTGTGATTTTTACCACAGTACTAGTCAAACTTATCACTCGGTAATTTGATGGGGCCGCCTAGAACCTACTTTGTAAATAGGTTTGATTATCGCGTCCTTCCAATCATAGGGGATTGTGTATTCACTGGCGGACAGTCTAAATACAGTAGTCAGTGGGCCAGAGTGCAAGCTCTCTAAGCAGCTTTGGACGCAACTCATCCAGTCCCGTTCAGTTTTCGATATCTAGAGTAACTAGTGTTTTGAATACATCCTTGTAGTCGATGTCCACAGACTTTATTCTGTTGAACATCAATGCTTTTACATTTGAATTAGTGTTGACAGAAGGTTTCTGGATAAAGAACTCAGAAAAATATCCAGCCATATCTTCTGCTTTGTCCTTACCGCCTTCAATTCAATAGTTATTTTCTGCCTCCTCGATTAGGGTAGGTATCTCGTGACATGTCTTATTTTCATGGTTCATATAAGAAAATAACCTCTTCGGGTGTTTCAGTGCAGTCTGGGTAAGACATTTCCAAAGCATAGTCCAAACCGCCGGATGGCAGCAATGCATTTTTTTTCCTGAATTCTCTGTAATGCTTTTTCCTTTTCGGAGCACCGAAGTGAGTGTCAAGACTCCAACACTTTTTCTTGCATCGTAGGAAGATTCGGATTTCGTGGTTTATCCACGGTGGATAGTTTTCCGTCTCTTTGGGACAGTCCATGGAACAAAGGGTTGAGCCACTCGTGCGTATAGCTGTTTGAAGGATCACCATGCGACCACAACCGAGACTTCTGGATTGTCTGTCAAGTTCTTCGAAGAAGCTGCTAAGTTAACAGCTCCCATATTCGCTTTCAATATATTGGGTCTGACTAGAACACAAGACGGCTGTCGTGAATCTGAAGATGATCACGGTGTGATCATTTTTACAAAGGCACGCAAGGTGCCAAGTGAAGCTTACATCATCTATGTGTGGGAATACTAAGATGAGAAATGATGGAGCATGCCGATGATCGCATCTGATTGTTGTCCTAATGTGCTTTCAAATGGATGTAGTGGGTGCAGCTAATAAGAATGGATACATGTTGTACGTGTTGACAGGTCGGCAGAAGTCATAGGCAATTACCAGCAATGGGTAAGTATTCTGCGCAGAGAAACGCAAGAGACAGTGTGGGCATATGAAGACCAAATCGAGATAGGAGAATAAAATGAAATGAAACACATAGTGCAAATGACTATTTTGATGGAAATTGTACAACGTTTCACCAGTACTGCAAAAATATCATAGTGTCATAATAAACATTCTGTCCTGCATATCAGTCTTGTCGCTTTTTACAGGGCCATGGAAATTGATGTTTCCACTAGCCTAAGATCAAACGAATTACGTTATGCTTCTGTTGTTAGCCTGTCTCGGTTAACTGGTGGTGCATTGAAGTCTCTTACAACTAGGCATCTAAGGTTATCTGTCTAATGTCAGCTTATTCAGGAGTAAGCCTTCTTCCTCACATTCAGGGTTTCGGTACACTACGATTAAGTTAACATCTTGTCCCTTTGACTTTAGCCGACAATGCAGGATTTCACACATGTGTGCAGCTGCTTCTATGGCTCTGACAGCTAAGATATTCTTAGAGCAAAGAATGACAGTGTCACCTCTGCATTCTAACCTATCACTTTTAAACAGAGAGAACCCTCGTAAATGTGCTTCACTGGCACTGATCTCAGAAGTGATGATATCAGGGTTTCTATGCTTATTACATTATTAAGCCCAGTTCACTTGTTTGGAGACCAGGCGTATTTGTCTACAGAGGCTTCGTAATCATTTGTTGCCGAAGCCTTGACACACGAAAACCTATCACTTTTAAATCTTTCTCTCCTATGATAATCTGGATTTTAGTTCTTCTTCTGCGTGTCTTTTTTCAGTCGATCGGCAAGGTGTAAATCCTCATGCATAACACTCAAGCTTTTTGGAGTATACGAGCATTCTTCAGAATGTGAGTTTTGAAGAGCTCTTGAAATGTCAACGGTGTGGCAGTAATTACTAAATCAGCCAGAGGCAACTCAACAGTAGTGTTAAACAAATCCGACTGGGTTCAGAAAGTCAACGAAGATATAAAGATAGGACCGTACGATGAAATAAAGAAACCAATGGCTACTGTTATGAATAAAGTAAAAAGCTATGATGGATATAATGTACCAAATGAATTCGTTTCTAGGTAAGTTGAAATGGTTTGATTTAATGCCGAAAACTAATAAACCCAGTAGGATATATGTTACAGTTAAGATTCACAAGCCAGGTTAGCCCATCACATCATTCTTACACCTTAGAAGCACTCATATTTATGAGTTATATCAATATGAAAAGAACAAGAGGAACAGTGGAATCAGGATAAAACGAATCCGGTAACTATCTAGAACCTAGCTTATCAAAATATTTTGTTCAGTAACCTACTTATCAAATGATCTGATTACGTAGTCTAGTGATGTTAAGTCCGTCTATTAGAATTGCTACTCTTATAGTTATCTTTATCTGAGGAACTTCAATTAGATTATGGATATAATTGTAACAGTTGTTACCATTTATTAACCTTCGTTAAATTTGCCTTTATGATTGATCTTTCATTATCACCGTCATCATTAACAATATAGGACTACATATTACTCCATAAACGTCCAAGTTGCTACATCACATATCAGCACATCAAGCGACAAAGGACTGAGAGAAAAGCTAAAGAAATAGAATAGAAGCAATCAGTGATCG